ATAAAAATATATTATACACAATGAAGTTTAAGGGGGGGTAAGATAAGAATAAGAAATCAAAGACCAGGAGTGGAGAGATGGATCAGCAGTTAAGAACACTGGTTGTTCTTGCAGAAGACCCAGGTTCAAATCCAAGCACCTACATGGTAGCTAACAACTGTCCATAACTCCAGTCCTAGGGGATCCAACAGCCACTTCTGACCTCTGTGGGCATTGCATGTCATGGGTGCACTTATCTACAGGCAGACAATACATGCATACACATAAAATAAAAATAATGAATAGAATTTTAAAAAAGAAATCAAAGACCAAAGGATTTGCCAACATGGGGTCAACTTTGGTGGAATAATGAAGGTTTCCATTAGCTCTGGGTTTTTTGTTTGTGTGTTTTTTTTTTTAAATCCTACTGAGTTTGTTGGGCTTGCTAACAGAGGATAGGGTGAGGTTTTATTTACAGAAGAATGGGTGTCCCCCTATTTATGGCTGCACTGGAAATTCCACACTCAAATATAAATCCTGTGACTTCCCAACAGCTACACAAAATGGCGAGAGAGGTGCCTCATGGCCTCTTGGCATATATATCCTTAGCCCCTTCCCCACATGTAGCTAAGGCTGACTGATTGGGTGGGAGGGGTAACAGACTCTGCCACCAACTCCTTGAGGAGCATAGGAAGGAGGTGTGACTGTAGTTTGCTGGTATACTGGTCAGAGGACACTTCCAGTTAACACTCCATCCCTTCCTCTGGCTCTTACATTCTTTCTGCCAACCTCTTCCACAAAAGTCCCTGAGCCTTGGAGGGGTGATAGGTGTGGTATGGTCTTCCTCCCACTGTGGCAAGGCACTGAACTTTCGGTCTTTGCAACATTTGTTTTCCATGGGTTGTTGGCCCACTTCTGTGGGATTTCATCTATTATAAGGATTTGGTGCTAGGATCCACAAATGCGGGAGAACATAGGTCTTTTGTTTTTCGGAGTCTGTGTTATTTCACTTAGTATTACAGTTTCTAGTTCCATCCATTTACCTGTAAATTTCATTATTTCATGTTTCTTTACTGCTCAATAGAACTCCATTGTGTAAATATACCACGTTTTCATTAACCACTCATCACTTGAAGGGCACTTAGGTTGCTTCCATCTCTTAGCTATTTTGAAAAGAGCAGCAACAAACATGGATGTACAAGTGTCTCTGCAATAGGATGAATTCTTTGGGTATATGCCAAGAAGTGGTATAACTGGGTCAAATAGTAGGTTCATTTTTAGTTTGTTAAGAGTTCTCCACACTGCTTTCCATAGGGGTTGTATGAGTTTTTAAGCCCACAAGCAGTGAATGAGCATTCCCCTTTCTCCACATCCTCACCAGCATTTTGTATCATTTTTTCTCTTGATCTTAGACAGCCTAGAATCTGTGTTTTAATAACTCAGGTGTGTCACAAGCAAACCAGCATTCAAAAACACTTCTTCAAGAATGCAGAGATGCATCTTCTACCTCTAACCTCCATCTTTTCTTTCCTTCCTTCCTTCTTATTCTTCTCTCATTTCTCTCTGTCACCTGTAACTTTTCTTCTACTTTCTCAAGCATTTTTATCATCATTTTTTTTTTCATTTTGAGTTAAGTTAACCCTCAGTTAATGGGATATCTTCCCCACGAGAAGTCTGTAGTTTCTGTGCTAGGTGGCCACAATGTTGGGGCTTGTAAATGCCCCCATAAAATAAAAATAAATAAAAAGATAAAGGTAAAGTACAAAGCTTTAAATTCCCATGTGGGAGTGCTTTCCTCCAGAAAGCACAAAGAATCTATCTCAAGCCTAGCCGGAAAGTGGGAGGGGGTGTCAGATAGTCGTCAGTACTGGTCATCTGGCCCTGGATCAGAACATTCAGACAAGCACTCCTACAGTCTGCTCAGATTTGGACAATGGGAATTCAGGGAAGGGTCAAAGGGTGAGGAACCAGCTAAAGCCACTGGGAGAGTGAAAACAAGGCCGAGCATGTTGAGTTGGTTCAGAAACACTTCTTCATTGGACCACCATCTTTTCAGTCACAGAACACTGAAAGAGCCTGAGAATTTACCACCCACTCTGTTTCTTTGCCACTCCATCTGGCAAGCTATGATCTTAAAATCCTCTGATGCCCTATATCACACTTTTTCTAGCTTCATTCTGTTGCTGTGACAAACATGAAGAGCAAAAACAACTTCTGTGAGGAGAGAGTTTATTTGGCTTATAATTCTAGGTCAAAGTCCATGGTTGAAGGAAGACAGGACAGGAATTCAAGCATGGATTTGAAACAAACCCTGGGGGAACACTGCTTGGTGGCTTGCTCGCAGGGTCATGTTTAAGCTAGCTTTCTTATATAGCCCAAGACCACCTGCACAGAGAATGGTGTCACCAACAGTAGGCTGCCTTCCTGCATCAACGAATAATCATGACAATTTCCCACAGACAGGCTAATTTCATAAGTAGTCTATGGATCTCTTGCCAAATGACATAAGCATGCAATTGATCGTTCTCTATATTCCAAAGTTGGATTTTAGCTCTTATGTGTAACTACTCTGTGTTAAATACAACCCAATGTGTACAGGAATTTTAAAAAAACATATTAGACCTCACAAGCATGAATAAGTGACCATTAAAATAATTTTAAAATCAAATGTTGTCTTTCTCTTCTCAAACATCTATTAATTGTTGTTGTTTTTTGAACAAAATAGGATCTTTGTTACTGTAATATATAGTTCTTAAATGTTGGAGGAGAAAAGGAAGATTAGATGTTACCAGTGATATTATTCAGCAACATTTCTATAAAGAATGTTGAAGCTATTAACTAGTGTTTCTAGATATTACTGTTTTTTAAAATTGTTTTAATGCTTTTTGTTCCTTTTGTGTTCACAGGTAAGTACAGTATTTTGAATATACATACATACATGCATATAAATGTAGTTTTGTTTTTCCTCTCCATCAGTAGTCTCCTGACTCATGAAGCATAATGCATGAATGGAGTTTCTGATAGAACACTCGTTAGAACTTCTGGGATTGTCGATACAACCAAAATGTAGATTAGGAACTACAAAGAAAGCAATTTGGGTAAATTAACTATTTTCTTATGTAATTTAAACTTCAGCTATAGAAAGTGACTAGTTTTATTCCTGAAATTGCAAAGGAAAATGATGCTCAGATAGGAAATGTACCTTACTGAAGTCCTACACAGTCAGAAGTTGGCAAAACTGAGACTTGACACATGTCTGTGGTTATACTGCCTCAATGATGAGGTTGTTTACACCTGTGTAAGGCTGATCCTGGTGTCTTAGACTTGGAATGGAGAAAAGAATATTTCATTCTGTATTCTACTCATCATTTTATTAGTGAATAGGAAGTGAAGGGAATTAAGTGGAAGATACGATGCAGGTGAGTTCATGCTGATACAGGCAGAGAGTTGGACTACACATGCAGTGATATAGTTGATTAAGTTCGACAAAGATTTGGACTGAGGTATTTATTATAAAAAGAAACTTTTTGGACCAATCCTGTTAATAAAATAAGAAGACTAATCAGGGATGTTGAGCAGGTTATAAATTTTCCTTAAGAAGATCATTCTAATATTTCTAAATGTTAGCAAGTTAGGAGTATCCCTATTTAGGTAATCTCTATGGTATTTTAGTCACAACTTTAGGCCACCGATTATTTGTAATTTCTTTAGGGGGAGGTTCTAGAAATTAGGCATGATGCCCCAATAATGAAAACAAAATAGAAAAAAAAGGCATTGTGATTTTGCAATGTTGAGATATTTGATTTTTTTTCTCAGGTTGTTATTCCTAGAACATGAAGACTAAGACTTGGAGCCTGCCCACCAAGCTAAAGCTTTACAAAGAATTTCAGACAGCTCAAACTTAAATGTAAACACAAGAGAACAGCATTTCATTTGGTATATTTTTCTGTCCATTTATCCTCCCAGCATCTTGTCCTTTATTGGTGTTTTCAACATCTATGCTTTGGCCTAAAGAATTTCCTCTGTTAGAGGTTTCTTAGAAAAAACTCCCTGAAGCTAAACCACTCTCTCATCTACCAAAAATATTTCCTCTCACAAAGGCATTTCATTCTGAGTAATAAGAAAGTTGAGGCATTTATTTTTTTAACCTCCAAATCCACAGTTTTTTCCTATAAATAAATTCATTAACTAATTAATTATCATTTTATTTATTGGGACAGAGTCTTGTTATATAGCCCAGGCTGACATTAAACTAACAACCCTTTTTCTTCAACTTCCCCATTACTGGGATTATAAACATGTGACCCAGCTCAACTGCCAGAATTCCGACTAAAGTCTGTAGCAGTATGAAACCTCACCATCTTTCAGCCAATAATCTATTCCGTTTTAGATCATTCTTCTCTGAACTTGCTCTTTTTAAATCAACATTCATTTCCATTCTCAAGCCATTTTTTTTTCATTTCCCTTTAAAAATATATACAAAATGCAGATTTTTTAAAACTGAAAACTAGAATTGGGATATCTCCCACATTAAGCCCCAAGATTCTGAATAGATGCAATATGTAAGACATGGATTTTGATTAGTTTGGTCTTTTGCTAACGCTCACTAAAACGCTCTTGCCTGTACTCACCCAGCCCACTGTCCCCTTTTCTTGCCATAAATGTTTCTCCTTCTAGTTTATGTCATATATATGTATAATCTATACGCCACATGTGAGGGAAAACATGGTATTTATCAGAGCCTGACTTGTTTAGCCTAGCATGTGCTTTTAATTAATTGACAAGGGCACTTTAAATGTTTTTCTCTTGTTCCACTGAAAATGAATTCATGTCTGGCCTAGAGAGGTCATTACAGGACTGAGTCCTCTATTGTACTTGCTTGCTGTTTCACAATGCTTTCCTGGCTATGTGCTCAGTTTAGGAAGGTAACACTAATCAGAATTGTAATCTCTCTGAGAAGGCTATAAAAGCAAAGTCCATCCTTTTATTTTTAACCAAGAACATTTTGAACTCTATCCAAGTCCACTTCAGGAACTCAATCAGCAATGAAAATATTTTGCATTTTCCTGATTGTTATTTTCACTGTGTCTTGTGGTCCATCAGGTAATATTTATAACATGCAAAGAAGGTAAAGGGGAAAATATTTTTGTAAATGCCCTATGCTGAATAATTGTTGCTAGGATACTCAGTAAGAACTCTTCCTAAGGGAATTCATGTTATTGTCTGATTGCAGAAGTGTGTAAATCTAATATTACACAAAGTAATGACAACGTTTCCATGTTTTAGCATTACAACTATTGATTTTGTTAATTTGTGTGAGGAAACGGTGATTCCTCAGCTGTAGAAATCCTGCTTTTTCTTTTGATTGCAGTTTCATTAACTGATAGCGTAGCTGTCGGGAAATTAGGTTTTTGCAACTAGCACAGAAACTAGCAGGAGGAGGGGGAATTGGAAGTGAAGGTTGTTTGTAAAACAGACAGGTAGTAAGCTGTTTGTTCCATGCCCTTTTCTCTTTACTCTTGAGAGATTTTACCCAAATATTAAATATTTAATGACATTCTTCTTGTATAAAAGAATGCTAGTTGCAAAGGAAAATATTGTTGTAAATAATAAGTAATAAACTTAAAGGAAAAAGATTGATTAGAGTTTTTAAAGTACAATTTCAGGAAAAAATTGTTAAATTCTATGCTGCAAGGAACTTTATTTTCTATCATCAATGTACCTATCATCTTTTCTTTCTATTTCTATTGATACTTATGAATAATTTCTTCCAGATCCTCAGAAAAGAACAAGAGAAGTTATTGAGAGAAAAAGGCAATGTTACCTGGTTCGTGGTTCTTGCAAGTCTGAGTGTAACACATGGGAATATGTCTACAATCAATGTGACACTGAGCCCTGCTGTGTGGTGCGTGAATACCAAAAGCCAGCCATGAGAATTCTGAAAACTACAACCTCTTCACCTGTGGATTACAACTTGAGTGCATCATGAAAACTGTACTATGGCATTAGTAATAAAAATGAATTTTTATGTTCAAATGGGAATCTTCTGTTTGGATTGCACAACTGTATCAGAGGACAACTAGTGATTTCACTGGTGGGTAAAGTATGGGAGAAACCTAAGACCCATAGTGCTTCATCAGTAAGTAGGCAGAAGTTTCTCTCCTTGTACATGGTCAAAGCCTTCCATCCCAACATCTCTCATTATCTTTGCTTATTTATTTGTCTCGTCCAGCAGTGTCTTCTGATTATTGGCTGTATCAATAATTAGTTAATAATGCCTCACATTGCCACTTAATACTTGTGTCGTTCTTAGACACGTGATTAAACATATCTCAGTCATATAGTGAGGACGTCCTGGCAGAATCATTGCAAGAACAAGAAAAGGGAGTGCAGTGGAGCATATCAAGGTCTGACCTGTGTGAAAATCTAAGTAAATGGCAGGAGAAAATAAAACAATTCTGAGTGATTATTCAGAATTTTGAAGGGATAGGCTCATAGCTGAACATTTTAAAATAATATTTTCTCTTTATGAGTTTCATAAAAGCAAACAACACATTTGAAATGTCTAATCAACAACTTAGGCTTCTATCATAAGAATCTAGAATTGTAAATTAAATAAAATTCTGTCAAATGAGGTATTCCAACACAACATTTGAATTCATTTTCTGAAGAAAGGAAATAGCAAAATGTGAACAGTAATCAATTAAATAGAAAATTAGTAAAGTGAGGAAAACCTGTTTCTTTTAAGCATCTTTTTATTGTTGTTTGATGGTTGTATACATTTATATAATGAGTTTTGGTCATTTTTGCTCCCTTTCCCCTCTCTCATCCCCTCCATCTCCCACTGAAGCTCCTCTTCCCAGCAAGGCCTCCTTCTACTTGACTGTTCTTTTGCTGTGTGACACACTGAGCTTACTTAAAGACAATTTTAATGTTAAAAATTGTTCTTCAGAAACTATCAAAAGACAGAAACAGAGACAAATAGAGACAGAGGCAGAGACTATTAGAATATAAATTACCAATATAAATAGTGATGTAGAACAAATAGTGCAAAAAATGTAAGAAAATAAAGGACAAGGATGTGTTTTGATGGTGCACATCTATCACCAAAGCACTTGGGAGGCAGGGACAGGAGAACTGCAAATCTGTGAGCAGCTTAGGCTACATAGTGAGTTGTGAGACATAGGCAATTCAGACTAATAGGATACTGTGTCAAAAAAGGAGAGAAATGGGCAGAAAGGGAAGAGATACCGAGAGAGAGAAAATAATAATGCATTATAACAAAAAGTATGTTGCTATTTGAAAATAACCTTCTAATTACGTAAATGGCACAAGCACACTTGAGATCATATTTGCAACCTGAACAGTTCTATACCATTCAAAAAATCATGTATAGCTTTAAATCTTTCCATCCTGAAATTCCAGATAGAGAAGACATCATTGTGGAATGCTACTAAATGATAAATAATAAACTCCATTCATCCCACACCACTATCTGTGTACAGAAAAGGAGAAAGCATTCTCAACCATGTTAGAAAAACATCACAACCTTCATATGAATACTCAAAGATAATTACAAAGAAACTATAGGTTAATGCTCTCCATGAATGTTAAAAATTCAGAAATCTTTAACATTTTATTCAATAAAAGGAATATTAAGTTTCATGCTAGGAAATTAATCTTTGTAATTCCCTGTCTTTATGTTAAGAAAAAACTAGCAAAAGTATATGATTTGTCAACATGTTTAAGCAGAACTTTATAATAAATGTAACATCCATTCACATTTAATAATGATAATTAAAATATACCATGGCAGGTATAAACAGAGTCGATCTTCTTCAACCTAATAAAAAAACACCTATGGACAAGCCACAACTCACTTCATTTTCTTTCTTTTAAAAAAAATGGTTTTATTGAATTTTTGTATATTTCATACAGAACACCTCAAACAATCTTAATCATCTTAATACCCCCGTTCCCACCGGTACCCTCTCATAGACCCCCCACTGGAGCCCATATACTCTGTCATCCTTATTAAGGCCTACTGTGTTGTCAGTGTCTCCAGGTTTTCCCTAGTGAAAGTCCATCCACTGAGGTCTAGTCAGCCTATCTAGAGTCTCTTGTTTTAGGAAGATCAGCTCTTCTTCATCTAACAGCAATCAGTTGCCAATATTTCTTCAGATATGATTGGGGTCTGCTGTTCATTTCCCAGTTCTATGCTACATTTTTGTTTGCTTGGCTTTGCATGGGACTTTTGTATGCTGATGCCATTATCATAGAATAATATGAGCAGGTTCCCAGAAGCTTGTAGGACTCTTTCCATATGGTCCTCCACCTCCTCCATGGCTCTTACAATCTTTCTGTCCCCTCTTCCGTGATGGTCCCTGAACCATGGGTGGGTGAAATTTAATATAGGAGTCCTATTCAAGGACGAGCATTCAGCAGACTCTTGATATCTTCTCTTTGGCCACTCTGACCTTTTGAGGTCCTGGCCCACTGCTGCATGAGGGAGCTTCATTAATGAGAACTGAGAGATTCATTAGTGTCATCTTCTTACCCCTGTTTTAAAAACATGGAACACTTCACAAATTTGCATGCCATCCTTGCGCAGGGGCCCGGCTAATCTTCTCTGTATCATTCCAATTTTAGTGTATGTGCTGCCAAAGCAAGCACAACTCACTTCATTTTCATTGTCAAAGAATGAATCGAATACATTATTCTTAAGATTAGGAATAAGGTAATGATATTTCATGCTCACATTGATCAATATTGTGAGAGAATCCTGCAAAGCCAAAATAGATTAATAAAACCCCCTGGATTGCAAGTAAAGTTTCAATTATTCAAAATAATATTTCTACACATGGTAAGTCATTCTACAATTCAAAAATGAATACATTAGAACAAAAATAATCATATTACAGAAAATTTAGTTACATTTATGAAAGAAACAAAAATGTCTTAATTATATTTATTTTTAGAAACACACACACAAAAGGCCTTGCCATATAAGGAAAATAATATTGTTAAAAGAAATTAATAAATATCTATATAATATTGATGCAATTAATTTTGCTCACGTAAGGAATGCCAAAACCTGAAATTCATCCATGAATATATTGATTAGACAAAATCCCAATAAAAATTCCAATGGGCTTTTAAAAAATACTGGCAGTCTTGTTTTAAATGCATGTGGAAATTCACAGGACCTCAAACTGTTATGATAATTTGAACTTATGGGATCAAAGTTGAAAATTTTACAGAACTTGATTTCAGAATTTACACTAAAACTATGAAATTTTAAAAAATTGTATCTAATAAAAGAAGAAAGGCATAGATCAATGAAAGTATATCTATTCAAGAAATTGATCTAATATAAACTTATATTTAACGTTAATATATTACATGTAATCAAATGTGTATGTATAAGCAGCAGACTTCTTACTAAAATCCCCAAGCATTCCAAAGGGACTATGTCTCCACTTCAAGATTAATACAGTGATGAAACATGTTTCTGTACACTGAGTATTCATGCTAAAACAGATACCATTCCTCTCTCACAGAGTTAGTATCATAATATGAAAGCCCAATGGAATAACTGAAGTCGTGTGAACAGAGCTAAAACTTTTGGTATGGGATCATCTTCCCCAGTAAAATAGCAAGCACTTCCTGAAGATCATGAATCCTGCATTCTGCTCACAGACAGGAAGCCTATTTTATCCCAGTTCATAGACTGGATACTTCCATGGAAGAGTGACTGAAGACAGAAAAATATTTGCTTAG